TAGATCTGTCAGCCATTAACTGTCACGTCTCATCTGAGGGCTAGAGATGGTGTCTCCAAATTTGCAGCCTCATGCTGCCACAATAGGACTACTGTCCACCATTACAGTGGTTTTAATGGAAGGCTAGACCCTCCCAAGAGTTAAGAACAGCATCTGATTTATTTAATTCTTTTTCAGTTCTTTCCGGATAGTTTATGGTAATGCATTTTATACTTAGTTAAAGCATCACTGCATAACTCTTAGTATTTGATTGATTTGAGATTCACAAAAAATTTTTCTGTGCAAGCTTCCCCTCTTAAAAACTCACCTATTTAACTTGAGAAGGTCGGATCTGTTGGATGAATGAGTCATGTGACCCACAGCACAGCTTTATAGGACTTTGAGCTCCTCTTAAACATGAGAGCTAATAAATGGTGTGTTCAAACCATAGTGACAGGAGTGTCAGATCTTCATGTCATTCTTATGTAGAGATGCGTTCAGGAGCTATGCAACAGATGAGCAATGCAACAGGCAGCAATGCAGCAGGCCCAATTTCGGTGATCATAGGGACGCTGCAGTAATGCGACACCTGCGATGGATATGAAGCAACAGTTGCTGGAGTTGGAGTTGTCTTGTCGCATGTAGACAATCAATCAGGGACTGGATGAGGCTATGAGTCAGTGGAAACAAAGCTTTTTATCAATCCAAATAGAAGACAGAAAAAATAATATTGATATAGGATTTAGTAAGTAATCCTATTAAAAGGTTTGATGGTATCTTTGGAGAAAGCCATTTTGAAATTTCCCTACAAGGACTTTTAAAATCATTTAGCATTTGTCCTCCTCTCTTAGCTCCAGGGAAGGTCCTGGCAGGCTGCCTCTGCCCCACTCTGGTGCACTCTTTGCCAGGGTTCTTGCTCTGATCTCCTGCTGCTCCTGACTGATCTCCAGAATGCTGCCTCGCCTTACCTCTGGTGTCCAGGTGATCATCCCCTAAAATAGGAGAGTTTCAGGTCCTGGTCAGACGCCAGCACTGTGAAAAGTGACCCTGAACTGGGCTACCTGAACGGGAAGCATCTCTGGAGGAGCTGGTGGACTCTGGGACTCAAATATGAAGCATTACGACTTGCTCAGTAAAGCCTATGTCAGCAGTTCTAAGTTAAAGGTGCAAGTAGGAGCTCTTTCTATTTAGGACATGGTGAAGCAATAAGAGTCTCCCACCATAGAAAATGCAGCCATTACGTCGGGACCAAATTCTAAATCAAAAATGGAAAACAAAGAACAAAGTGTAATATATTTTCTGACAGTTTATTTCAAGATGTAAAACGATGACAAGGATTGATTTTTAATTTTGGATTTACTGTCCATGAATTTCGCTGGTCATAACCCCCAAAAACTGTTCTTAGACAATAGTATTCATTACATTAATACTTTTATAACTTTATAAAACCAGAAAAGCCATAGAAAGTCATTGTTTCTGCATTGAAGAGTCATTCATTTGACAGGTTAATGCTAAATTTCTTCTGTGTTAGAAATGGTTTCATATGTAGGCACACAATTTGTAGTTACAAGGACACTTTCCATGTCAAGCCCAGTGAAAGTCATGGACAATGATCAGAAATTACAAAACAAACTTTATTGTCATTTTCCAATTCCAAGTTTTTATCTTTAAATATACTGTAAGAGAAGCTTGTTTCCGGATCTTGTTTATTTCTATATCAAAAGCAACATTATTGTACATGTACATGGGCCGTCTTTACCAGCAACTCCAATGACTTCTCAATCTGCTGGTCCAAAGTGCTTGTTTTTTTTTTGTCAGATCATGATACTCAGAGGGAGATGGTTTAGTTCTGCAACAGAACTGTTTTCTTTCAGTTCCTTTAAGTGCCCTAAACCCAGAAGTTACAGGTCTACCATCCCTAGTAGCTAAAAGTTGTACAGTGCTGATTTAAGTTGATATGAAAGTCTAGAAACTTTAAATGAGTAAAAAATGACTTCATGGCACATTGATTTGACAAAAAAAAAAAAAAATAGGAATATAAAAAAGTAAACCTTAAAAACCTAAAAGTAACCAAAAATCATGGGATAACCACACTGTATTTGTTATTAAGAAGTTCCAGCACAGTTTCTTAATGTACTAAGGAAGTATTTACAGAGCGCCAGGTGGAAAAACACCCTTTCAGATGAAGAAAACAACAAAAAAATGTAGTTTAGTGTTTTGTTTTGTTGTTTTTTTTGTAACCCAGAATGAATTTAAATCTGGCAAACACCTAAGGATATCTTTGCTGTATTGAAACGGCTCTGTCGTGAAAAAGTAACAGACCAAAGCGTTGATATGGTCACTTATTTTTAGTTAGTAGCCATTTATTTATTTCGTTATTAATGACCATCTCTTAATTGCAATGATTACAAGAAGCAGCATTAAACACAAATGGAGCCTAGGCAGAAGTTCAACTGAAGAAACTAATTGCTCTCCTGCGACACAGCGAATCAGCTTTGAACCACAACTGTCTGCTTCCAATCCGCACCTGTCTGCTCCTGTGCGCAGGCGGCGAATGCGCTGTGACTTCATTTAGATGACCCCTTTTCAACCCACCTCCAGCCCCTCCTCCACCTTTGTAGCTAAAGCTTCATCAGAGTGTCATTCCTCCCAGACTCTTACTGCGTTCTCTTTCATTTTAACTGGTCTGGCAGAAGACCGCCATGTTGAGCCTGATCAGCCAGAGGTTTCTTCCCAACTGGGAGTTTTTCCTCTCCACTATTGCTTCATGCTTGCTTATCATGAACAGGTTCTCTCAACCTGTGTTATCCAACTGGATTTCCATGTTCCAGGTCCCTGAGTGAAGCTCTATTATCAGCTCACGCAGTTCACTGGATCTCCCCATAAAGCTCAGCATACCGTCTCGCTAACCAGCAGTCTACAGACTGACCAACTTCCTCTATCTCCACCACCAGTTTCAGGCCTGGGAGGAAACAGCCCTATTCTTTGCTCCTGTTCATGCATATCTATCAAAATCAAGCGCTGTGTTTCCTGCCGAAGTCTGAGTGCCAAAGACAAAGTTATTGTATCAATAAATTTCTCCCAATTGTCTTTTCTCTTCGTGTGAGTTTTTCAGATTGAAGTACTGAAAATGCCACAAAAAAGTACTTGTTAAAATAGATGAATTAATATAAGTGAATCGCACTTATTAAGATAACACAAGCAAAAAAAGTGCATATAGATAAAGGCAGAGGCTTGACAATTAAACTATACTTATCTTGAAAGTACAAACATATCATTTGATACCATTCATTTAAGTCATAATACTGAAGTAAGCACAAGTTTTGAGTTTGCTTTGCAGAGAATTTTGCAAGATGGAGCCTAAGATGCAAACTGTCAAGCTCCACAGGCCCTTGAAGGGTGTATGGTGATAAATGATAATTGGTAAATTAATTTAAAATTGTGATAACTGATGTGAAATCCCTCTTTGCCCTTATGTGTTTATGCAGGAACCACAATAATGTTGAAATCAAGGTTTAACGGGAAGGTAAGTCCTAAAAGCTACCATGCTCTTCCTTTCATTAGAAATGTGATGGGTTGTTTTTTTGTTTTTGTTTTTGGACGGCCAACCTGGATAACTGAAGTGGAATAATGTTAATATAAAACGTAGATTGATTTGTGACAATTCCAGATTTCATGTCCCTAACTTGCTTTTTTTTCAAATCCACCACTCTATTGCCACTATGTTAATCGAAAAACAAAATAGGGGTTCACAGAAAAATATTTGGAAATCAAACGCTCTCAAAGATTCAAGTTGCATTAAAATTTTTGAGTTGAAGGTGAAACCACACAGAGCTGGACCAGCTTTAATAGAAGAAGAAGTTCGGTGGATACTCATAAACACAGCTTCACATGGCTTTATATCATCTCTGCATTCGACGGCGCTGCCTCCTCATTAAAGATCCATGTGAGACCTAAAGGACCCAAACTTCTCTTAACATTATGTGAGGATTATTAGATCCTGGTAACATAGATTTGGAAAACAGCTTATGAAATCAACAACAAATAAATAAAAAAATAAACAAAATATTAAAATCTTCATATTAAGGCAAACTTTGAAATGACTAAGAATTAATCATTTTACATCACATTCTTGTCCTCGGAGTCTGTTTTTGCATGTAGGTGGGAGGTTTTTTGAGATGCCATAAACCTACACCATGGAATTTCCTGCATGCACCTCACATTGTTCAGATTAGGCAATCAACAGAACCAGGTTACACCCTCCAGTGTGTCCCAGAGGAACCATGAGCACTTCCAGGTTAAAGGGTGAGCACACAACAAATTAACCTGTAAGCATCAGTCGCCTCAACTTTTCACAATCTCTATATATATATATATATATATATATATATATATATATATATATATATATATATATATATATATATATATATAAATTTTGTGTGTTTTGCTAATTTTATTCTTGTTTGCTTATTTCCTTTTGTAAATAAAATAAAGCCTTTAAGCTCTCTTCTACTGTGTACTCGGATTGAAATATTAAAATCAAAACATAAACTGTATCCTGTCTACAAGATTCATTTAAACCCATGAATTTGGTAGGAACTTAGATTCAGAAAAAAATGCTGTACACACCTAACCTGACAACAGCCAGATGCATCTGGCTGTTGTCAGGTTAGTACACACCTTATAGAGAACAGATAAGTTGCAGTTATTTATGCTGTGCTGCCATCTGTTGATCAGGAGGGGGCACAGCATAATCACTGCATTACTGGACCAGTATTGCACCAATACTTTTGTGAATGAGACCAGAATATACATCAAACTATTTCATGTGAAGCAACTGTTTATACATTTGTGTGTATAAAAAAAATGTCACCACGTTAAAACTTGTTTAAAGGAAATCTAAGGGAGACTAAAAGTAAATCTGGATGATAATCAACTTTTAATTGGACTCACCTGTGCTGGTGATGCTGGTTATAAATCCTTTTGTTTCCAAATGTGAACTGAACCCAACTCTTCTGACACAGCAGCCAACATGCCCACCAACAATGTTGTGGACCAGCGCATCTCCAAGTTTAAAAACAAGGGGAAAGATTTAGCAGTAAGTCATTATTCATGTTGTTTAAGGTGGTGGTTTTCTCTAAAATTGTATTTCTTTTGAATATGTTTTTACAATAAAATGTAGAAACTCAGAGAGAAGCGGATCAGTGAGTGTGTTGAGCTGCGCAAAGCTCAGAAGAATGAGAACTTCCTTAAGAGGAGAAACATCACACTGTCTTCTCTTCCTGATGAGGAGGCCCTCTCACCTGAAAACGACACGGTCGGTTTGCAGTAATTATTCCTCAAAGTCCTAAACCAGGAGAGTTTTTTTAACCACTTTGATCATGTAGGTGAGCTACAGGATTGAGGATATAATCCGAGACGTGAACAGCAAGGACCGGGAAGCCCAAACCAGAGGCTGTCAGGCAGCCAGGTGGGTTACCTGTATTACCAATAAAACCTTAACACAATCAAACCAACTGGGTCCACTGGTTGGCTGAATGGACATATTCAGCAGCAAGTTTACTTTTTTGTCAAAGTATCTTTTAAAAAACTAGAAGACCGAGTAGATGTAAAGATTAAACTTAATTAGTGAAAACAAAAATTACTAAATTACTCAGAGCTTCTGTAGGGTGTAGATGTTAAAAAAAACCTGCTTGTTTTTATTCGATGTTCTCATGACCATATTGGCTTTGTTCACCTGAGATCATCGAGGCCCACAGGCTGAATCGGCTCCCTTAAGAGCCAAAATGTCATAATGTAGAGATGTTGTTTTAAAGTGGCTAAAACTGTGAAATAAATGGAAGTAAATATGTAATATTGGAGAAAATGGTTCTTTTTCCAATGAAGTTGTTTAATTTATGCAGCTGCAAGTGGTTGAAACCCCCGGTCCAACCGTTATCCTTTCTTTTTACACCCTTTGAGTATCTCTTACCTATCGTTTCTTATGTGCATAAATGAAATAAAATACATAAATGAATGCATAAATGAAATAAAAACTACATTGGGGCATCAAGAACTTAAAGATCAGCATCTTAGGATGGCACGGATGGCCAAAGGGGGGGATGGGGGGGGCGTGGAAATTTTATTGTAATCCAAAGGGGGGCCCAGAAGAAAATCTTTGGGAACCACTGCCTTAATGGAATGTCCATTACAACTTTTCGTTGGTGCCCATATTTAATGACCAGACCAGGCAACAAAAAGGAAAGGGCACAATGTTGCCATAATTTATAATTTGGCCTGGTGGTGTTTAGAGGGGACTTTCTTCACCCTGTCCAGCCTCTGCAGGTCAGGTAACTTTTTGATCTTCCCACAGGAAGCTGCTCTCAAAGGGCCGTGATCCTCCCCTAAAGGAGATCATTGATGCTGGTCTACTTTCTCCGTTTGTATCTTTCCTGGCGATGGATGATGAGCCGACGCTGCAGTTTGAAGCAGCCTGGGCTCTCACAAACATCGCCTCTGGAACATCCTGGCACACACAGCAGGTGTCTGTACCAAATAAAATCAGAGGCCGTAATCCTAAAGAAATAATTTGTCCTGTAAACCAATCTACATTTTCCTCCTCAGGTGGTGGAACATGGAGCTGTTCCAGCTTTTATCAACTTGTTGGCTTCACCAGTTTTGCACATCAGTGAACAGGCAGTCTGGGCCCTGGGAAACATTGCAGGTCAAATGTTTGCCATCATGTGTGAAGTGTTGAAGAAATGTAGAGGTGGCTAACTAAAATTCTAAAACTCTTGCTTACAGGTGATGGAGCAGCGTATAGAGATATCCTCATCGAGTGCAATGTTATCCCGGCACTGCTGGCACGCATCTGCCCAGACACACCAGTGAGTCAGTCTCTAAGATGCTTGTGAGAAAACATTGTTTAAATCAAGCTGCATGCGTTGTTCTCCTGTAATGTTTCAAAACTTTGAGTCGGTGCGTGAAATGTAAAACTGCTGTGCATGTTTACCTTTCATTAACACACAGTCCAGTTTTTTTGTCTGCGCCATTTAAAGTCTAACTACCTTTAGTCTAAACTGTTAAACACGACCCAGACACATCTGATGGATGTAATTAACTGAAGGAAGCAGGTAAACATGAAATTGATTTAATTTGCATAGAGTATTCAATAGCTTGGTAACTTGCAATTGTAATCTCTTGCTTGGCATCTTAACCCTTTAAAGCCTGGACTGTGAAATAATTGAGAAACTTTCTCAAATATGAAATAAAGAAACGTACCTCTTGAATTGGTTAAATTGGAGCATTATTTGCATCAATTTTGCTACATTAAGTCTTTCTGTATAATTTTTGCTGTTTACTAAATGTGTCTGATTTTGCAAGTCAGGGTTTTCAAAAGCAAAAATTTCACACTGATTATGCAGAAGTCACAAAAACTCAGGTATGACATGATGCACTTGGCTTTAAAGGGTTAAGAGGTATATGTTCATATTTCTTGTTCCTTATATCATTACGGAAATTAGAACAATCTTAGCCATGTTTTAGATGCCTTTTTTTATTTATATATATATATATTAAAAGGCATCATCCTTAATGCAACTTTCTGTTCATAATTGTCACTCAGTTGGGATTCGCATTTAAAGTGTATTAAAAACAACTTGATGGCAAGAGCTCTAATGGTTCAAAACTATGGCTATCTGCAGGTTGGCTACGTGCGGAACCTCACTTGGACGTTGTCAAACTTATGCCGAAACAAGAACCCTTGTCCACCACTGTCTGCAGTTCAGCAGGTGTGTGTGTGTGTGTGTGTGTGGGGGGGGTGTTCTTTATTTGCTTACAGTGTGAAATTTGTATTTAAGAGACTTGCTGTATTTCTTGCAGATGCTTCCAGCTCTTATCCAGCTGCTCCACCTTAGTGACAAAGACATATTGTCTGATGCATGCTGGGCAATCTCTTATCTCTCAGATGGCAGTAATGATCGTATTGATGTAGTCGTGAAGACTGGCATCGTCCCACGACTCGTGCAACTTATGAACAGCAAGGAGCTCAGCATTGTGGTAACAGTCCAAGCCTGAGGAGTGATTAACTTTGCTTAATAAATGTGCCAGATGGAATTTTCTTGCTCTTATTTTGATCTCTAGACCCCAGCGCTTCGCTCCATTGGAAACATAGTGAGCGGCTCTAACCTGCACACCCAGATGGCCATAGACGCTGGTGCTCTTAATGTCCTACCAAATTTGCTGAGGCACCCAAAACCCACTGTGCAGAAGGAGGCAGCATGGGCTTTGTCAAACATTGCAGCAGGACCGTGTAAGCAAATCCAGCAGCTCATCACTTGTGGCCTGCTTCCTCCTCTTGTAGAAGTGCTCAGAAATGTAAGTAATGTGCACACTTATTGTTTTGGTGGTCGTAAAGATTTTTTTTTTTTTTGGCCATTTCAAAATGTCCAATCACTGCTCTACTACAGTGGAGAAATTGGCTTGTTGGTACCATAATATCTGAAAGATCAAGTGGAAGACTATTTATGCTAAATGTGGATACCCTATAGCAGAGGTCACAGATTAGTGGACCCACCTGCTGGCTAATCCAGACCCAACCTGATTTAAAACATTTATAAATTACTGCATGTTGTCTGATGACTGTGTATAACTTCACCTGTGCTGCTTCTCCTGTTAATATGGTAAAGCCCTCTGGATAGTCTGGGACAAGGCTATGTGATACGAATTGGCCAATGAGCTGTCGGTTTGGGTCACTGTGGTGAGACATTTTTAGACGCGACAGGCAAACCTGTGGCAAGCCTGGTGATGGGGAAAGGAAGAGAAGATGAGGAAAGAGCAGAGAAAGTGTGGACTGCTGGAAGAACTGCAGGGAACTAGCGAAAGTGAAACGGCGTCCTCAAAGATGACCCTGCTCCTTTTTGAGTATGTTTGGCTCAACCTGCTGCTGTGAAGCAGGATTCGCCACCATGAACATTATCAAAAATATCAATCCAGGCTCAAAACAAGCACCTTAAAATGTGCTTGAGATTGGCTTTGTTGCCACTGCTTTCATTAAACGATAAAAAAATAACATTTGGTCAATTCAGGTGTTTTATAAAAGATGTGAATCAGGAAATTGTCTATATACCAAACTGAACGATTGTTCTCCATTTCAATAAACACTCTACATTTTAAAATGGAAAATTTTTTTTATTTAAAAAGTCAGTGTATAACAAAATGCCTAAACACCTCATTTTAATTCAGTGTTAAATTCTGTTTAAAGTAAGATTATAATTAAAAATGTCTCCAAACATTTACTGTTTTTTTTTTTTTTTTTTTTTCCTTCAGACCCCACTGATTTTTAGTTACCTGTCCCCTATAGCTTTAATGATTTCACTTTAACACAATGGAGAAAATTGTCAAATTAACTCCCAATGACTCTCTCATAACATTGTTGACTTATCCTTTTAGTTTTCAATAGATGTATCGTGAATGAGATTAATAAAGCGATAACGTTTTTCTACAGTCCCACAAGTCTTCAAAGGTTTTTCTTGTGCAATTAAACTATCCACAATCTCAAATTATGACTTTGCTCTTTAAAGGGTGACTTCAAGACTCAAAAGGAAGCTGTTTGGGCAGTGACTAACTTTACCAGTGGGGGCACTGTAGAGCAGGTGGTCAAGCTGGTGCAGAGTGGAGCCTTGGAAGCCATAATCAACCTACTACAGGTCAAGGATGCCAAAGTCATCCTGGTCCTACTGGAAGCTGTCAACAACATATTCATGGTGAGTGGGAACTCCTGTGATACAGAAGATCAGAAGCAAATCAATCCAATCCACTTTATTTATATAGCACGGTTTAAATAAACACAAGGTTTCCAAAGTGCTGCACAAAAAGATAAAATAACTAAAATAAATAAAAGTAATAAAATAAAATAAAAGCACTGCCAGCACAGGATAAAAATATGCATGTGTATACATAAAATCAACATGTGTACATAAAATCAACATGTTTAATCAGCCTTGATTTGTCTCATCAGGCTGCAGAGAAGCTTGGAGAAACCGAAAAGCTTTGTCTGTTGATAGAAGAGCTGGGAGGACTGGAACGGCTTGAGGTGCTGCAGAACCATCCCAATGAGATGGTGTACCAGGCTGCACATGACCTCATCCAGAAGTACTTCAACGATGTAGGTCTCTGTACAGGAAACTTGAAAAATTCTGACAGTACTGTATTAAGTAATTCTGTTTCACTTCTATTTTAGGATGATGTTGAGGAAGTCCAGGTTGATGCAACACAGAATCTATTTCAGACTTCTGATGTAAAGAAAACCTTTGAATTTTAAATTCTTTTTGATAAATTTGAAAAAGTAAATAAAGTTGTGCATATAAACTGTAGCTTATGGTGCTGATTCTGGATAGATTCATACAGCTCGAGTGGATCAAAGGGCTTAATTGTTGGAGGGGAAATTCTTATGTTCTCCAGCTAATGTTTGGGGAAAACCAGCATAAAGGTGCAACTTGATTAACACCCTTTGATATTTAAGGAATTAATTTCAATCATGGCAACTGTAGTTTAATTTCTTAGAAGTAGAATGTCGCATGCAACAAATTCTAAAGTGGATATATACTATATCTGTTCTTGAGGCTCCTTTGCATCATGGTAGGAAGATGGTGAGTGGCAATATAAACTGTTTGGATAGGGGTACCTTTCTGACCTATAAAGTAAAGTCTTACATGGTTAACTATAACGCTATGAAAAAGGTTTGTAATCATCTGAGACGAGTAGTACATTTGCAGAAGGACCCCTGCTGCACTATTGAAATTAGAAAACTCACCTTCAGTCTCCAAATCAGCAGACTGGAAACTTAATGTAGGATATAAGATCCAACTTTTACTGTTTAAACATTGAACCATAGGGCAACAATCAACCTATTTTCTTTAGGATAGTCTATAATGTCCTGGATGGGTCTGAGATGCCTACTTGTGTGTCCTGTACATGTTGTGAATCTTCTCTAGCATGTTTTTTGCATCAGTTTTTTCATTTGTCATCCCAATCTTCCATTTTTTTCAGAACTAGAATCTGCCAAATTGATGGCTTCCAGCATGATTGTGTAGGCCAAAAAATGCTGCGTAAAATCAAGGTTTTCTGCAGCTCATCTTTGTAAACTAATACAAATTTATTTCATTTAATTTCTCAAATCTTATAAAAAAAATCAGTTTTTCTGTTCTAACAAACAAACCCTGGAACTCTAATTTTTAAGGCAGCTAAGCTTGGAAATCTAAAGTTCAAATGCACCAAAAAAATAAAAATTTAAACATTCAAGTAGCCTCGGTATGACTGAACACAAACAATTAGATTTCTGTGGCCAGGGGGGGAGGAGATAAGTTGGACAAGTTTTGGCTATGGATTCAAACGGGTCCAGATTTCTCCAGCTTCTACTGCCTGTATGCTCCGTCTGCAACTGACGGCTGACGCACAAAGCAGGCAAAGAATGGATGCTGAACTTCTCACTACTACTGTGACAAGTCCATTTGGGGAGGTGCAGCAGCAGTACCCTTATCACAAATGTCAAATTTGTAGTCCCCACACTGCAGAGATGTTGGCATTACCTACTGTTTGCTCAAATGCTCTGAAGGAATTGATCAGTTGAACTAAAACAAAGTACAAAAAGCCAGTATTAAAAAGTTTATATTAAATTTATTTCAAAGAAAAAATTCATTTTTATTCAAAAAACTGACCATTAAATTTATAGCAACCTTACTTTTAGACCAGGAATGACCAAAGTCGCTCCTCCAGGGCTGATGTCTGCAGGTTTTAGAGGTTTCCCCACCATGGCATAGCTGGACTTTTGCTGAACCACAATCAGAATCGGCTGTACTCAAGCAGGACAACCTCTAAAACCTAAAGGACAGCGGCCCTGGAGGAGCGACTTTGAGTATGCCTGCTTTAGAGCTATAAAATAAATGACCAACACTACAGTTTATTATAATATAGATTTGTTAGGCAAAATCCCAACTGAATAATTATCGAACAGAATATTGCAAAAGATTCACAATTACATTTTTTACATGCAAACTTCAAAAGATTTTATCCAATAGACCAGGCGTCTCCAAACTCGGTCCTCAAGGCCCCCCGTCCTGCAGGTTTTAGAGGTTTCTCTGCTTCAGCACAGCTGGTTATGATTGCAGTAGACCAAAAGCCTGTTAATCAGCTGTCAATTAAAATCAGCTGTGCTGGAGCAAGGAAACCTGTAGGACAGGGGGCCTTGAGGACCGAGTTTGGGGATGCCTGGTCTATTGGATAAAATATTTAAGTTTGCATGTTAAAAAAAAAAAAGAATCTTTTGCAACATTCTGTTTTATTATTCAGTTGGGATTTTGCTTAAATCTATATTATATTAAACTGTAGTGTTCATTTATTTTATAGTAATAGACAAAGGAGTGCATAGTTGAAGTGGCAGTAAAGAAATGCAGTTAAGACTTTTACCAATTAAGGTATGGGCTCAGTGGTGGAGTAGGAGCAACATGGAGGCTACTGGTTGGACTTCTGCACACCTAATCCTCTTCTGTCAAGCTTTTCATTAATGCACATTATCTAAAAAGTGGCATGGATTTAAATCCAGCCATCCTGTGATCCAACTCATTTAAATTGAATCCAAAAACTACCTTCAGTCAAATAGATGGTAAAGTCAACCTGCTTATCTGATCTCATTAATGTAGCTCTAGAGGTTTAGAGAACTGCATTTTTTATTTATATATATATATATATATATATATATATATATATAAAAACTGATAAATTTGGAGCAGGTTGATGTAAAGATTTTGGGTTTCTTTAGATTCAAATTCATGCATTCATTATTTTTGTCCTGGTTGACATTCCATATGTGGATTGCAAGCCTTGTTTAATAAAAGTATATAAATCTTGCATATTTCCAATCAGGATATTTTTAATGCTGTACTCAAGAGTTATAAATATGACACTGTTCTTTGAAAAAGCACCAGATATCGTGGTCCATTTGTTATTTAGAGAGTGAAGATGTCTACATCTTCTCATAAGTGAGTTCATGTCCACAGGTAGTGCAGGTTTTCTTGTAAAGGTCCTCCTCTGGGTCCACCACCTCCTCTGGTCCGTACTCGTGTTGGTGAGCGGTGGTTTTTTTGGTCCACATGCTGCTTCTAACGGCCCTGCGCAGATCTGACACACAACGCATAAATATTTAGCATCACGTAATGTGAAACGGCTCGACTCCTGAGGGATTTTCCACTAAAACGGAAAATCCAACCTTTGACTTTTTTGTTGAAGCGCTTTTGTTTCTGGACCTCTTTGTTCTCCTCCCTCGTCTCTCTGGCCTCTTCCAGCGCCTCCTCTGAGCCCCAAACCTCCATACACCTTTTCTGGACCTGAGGTACACCCAAAGATAAACTATGAGGAATAATCGAAATACTGTTTGCTTGTTTTAAAAGAAGACTATAATAAATGCATGGAACATTTTTAGCAATCTTGCTTTAAATGTAGAACCTGCAGGATAAGTGAGTGTTGGAAAAGGATGAGATAAATAAGTAGGATGGATGGTTTGGCTGAAAGTAAGCCTAGAAATTGAAAAATTTAAATTCTCTATCCGATGCTAATTAGGGGTCAGCTGATTACAAGTATCTTGCTGATCATCCTGACATACAGATTCAAATTTTCACTGTTATAGATTTCTTATAAAAGACACTGTTAGTTGTAAGATCAGAAGACAAGATATTCCAATCCCATCTTACTGAAAAAACAACTTCTGAAATAACTGCTCTAAAATATAAAGTTTCAGGCATTGAGTGGGTGGTTTTCAGAGCTTTACAAAGGTAGGTTAGATTTGGTGAACAGATCAGTTTCACATGTAAGTCTTGGCCGATCACAATCTCTCAGAAAAGACCAAAATCGAGGCCTGTCGGCCGACCAGTCAGTGCACCCTTAATGCTAATTTGGGCTGCAAATAAAGAATTTTTGCAAACAAATTATGTTGATTATTTCTTTGATTAATAATCAGATTGCCAAAGCTTACTTAAATACTTTTTACTAAATTTCACCAGGTGAAACTAAAACCTTTTCCACTTTAAGAGATCTGGATAGAGCGTATTGACAGACGAACAATATTTTTCTGTCTTGAATGCAAAATATATATTTTTTTTACAATTTTGGTATAATTTCTGCTCCAAGTTGGTCACTCTGTCAGCTAAAGGCGTGTTTTTAGAGTCTCTATACTCTGGTTAATGATTAATCAATTACTAAATTAGTTGAAGATTATTTCAATTATGGATTAATCTGATTAATTGGTTAAGCCCTAATGCTAATCCATACTTGGAATTTCTGTAAGAAAAGTGTTATACATTACTAACATTTTAATTCAATCAAAATGTTGCTCCTTTAAACAGCGCAACATTCAGCTCGTTTTTTTGTTTCTTCCTTTTGCTGATCTGTCCATCATAAAGATATATAAATGCCTTACTTCTCTCATCAAAAACCACTTTAAGTTCTACAGACTGTTTGGATCCTAAGAGCTAAAGAATAAATACATTAGGAGCAGTTCTGGTAATTCTAGAGTGTGAATCTCCCCTGAGGAAGCTGATCACCTGCAGCAGAAGGTAGAGCTTCATATCCCCCCAGCGTGGGTTGTGAGGGTTTTTCTTCAGTATAAACCTCAGAGGGGGCTCTCTCTTGTCAAAGTCCACGTCCTTCAGCAGGTAGTGCTGCTTGGCCTCCGTTCTGGAGATCAGCTTGTGTTTTTCCTCATTGTCTCTGCTGAGAACAAAGTCTTTCATCTTCACTTTGTAGGATCAAATGCAAAGTCATCCAAAACTCCAAAGCTCATGACACGAGGTTTTCAACAAACTAAAGGCTCAAATAAAATATTGGCGTATTTTTGCTTATACAAATATGAAACACAGCCTTTCAGACATCTCAGACGTTTAAAGCAATTAGCTTATAAAACACTTTGTGCAGAATTATTAGGCAAATGAGTATTTCGATCACATCATCCTTTTCATACATGTCCTACTCAAAGCTGTTTAGGCTTGAAAGCCAGCTACCAATTAAGTAAATCAGGTGGTGTGCATCTGACTGGCCAGAAAAACTCTAAAAGGGGAAAAAATGACATGCCCCCCCCCCTTGTTTACCTTGTCTGAACCCCATTGAGAACCTGTGGTCCTTCATGAAATGTGAGATATACAGGGAGGGAAAACAGTCCACCTCTCTGAACAGTATCTGGGAGGCTGTGGTGGCTGCTGCACGCAATGTGGATCGCAAACAGATCAAGACACTGACAGAATCTATGGATGGAAGGCTTTTGAGCATCATGGTGAAGAAAGGTGGCTCTATTGGTCACTGATTTGTTTTATTTTTGGTTTT